AAAGATTCGCGGGTAAAAATCGCAGCGGCATGGCTTTCAAGGTCGACCAGTTTTGTGATCTGGAAGGGCTTCATATGGGAACTTAAGTAATCCGCTTTCAACTCGTTCATACGCATTCTACTAATTCCATCTTCAATTGCACGAACAACATCTAAATATGTCTTCTTGTGTTTCAGTGCAATAGCTAGTGAAACATTCATAGACTCGCACCTTTGTGTTGAGCGAATATTGGCAAAGAAATGACCGGTTAGATATGTTTGTGCCAATAAGTGTCGTGTATTTCCCTTCTCAATCACCCATGGATGCTTTTGGATGATGAATTCTGAAACAACCGAACGCCATTGAATATCAAATTCCTCGATTGTCCACCAGGAAGCCATGCATTTTGAGAATGCTGCTGTAAACTTTGGGTCACCAATGTTAGCTTGTGCATTGCGAGAAATATGAAACACTATTGCGGTATATGTTTTTAACTGTGGAAAACATTAATTTAAGGTTAGATTTAAGATATTAATTTAGTAATTATAGGCGTCAAATGATTTATTTTTTACGTTGCGGTATATTATTATTAAATTAAAAACAATAAACATATATATTACGTATTTATTATTATCTTTGGATAATATTGTTAAATTTAAATTCTAAATAATATTTTATAAAATATCAAAACAATCAAATAATTTTTTGTGTAAATGAAATTATTAAATTAATATTGTAAGTGGAAAACATGAAACACTATTAAAAAAATTGAAACATAAATTACATAACTTTAAAAAAAGTATCGATCCTTTTTATAAAAAGTATGGACACTTTCAATATAATAGGTAAAAATATGATGTAATAGGTAGCGCTTATATAATGTAATAGGTAGCGTTTATATAATGTAATAGGTAGTGCTTATATTGTAAAGTATCTATCCTTTTTATAAAAGTGTCCATACTTTTTTCACTGTGGAAAATATTAATTTAAGGTTAGTTTTAAGATATTAATTTAGTAATTATAGGCATCTAATGATTTATTTTTTACGTTACGTTATTTATTATTATTAAATTAAAAACAATAAACATATATAGTACATATTTATTATTATCTTTGGTTAATATTGTTAAATTTAAATTCTAAATAATATTTTATAAAATATTAAAACAATCAAATAATTTTTTGTGTAAATGAAATTATTAAATTAATATTGTAGGTGGAAAACATGAAACACTATTAAAAAAATTGAAACATAAATTACATAACTTTAAAAAAAATATCGATCTTTTTATAAAAAGGATCGATACTTTACAATATATCAGGTAAAAATATGATGTAATAGGTAGCGCTTATATAATGTAATAGGTAGCGCTTATATTGTAAATTATCTATCCTTTTTATAGAAGTGTCCATACTTATTTCACTGTGGAAAATATTAATTTAAGGTTATCTTTTGAGTGAGTTTTAAGATATCAATTTAATAATTATATGTATCTAATGATTTATTTTTTACGTTACGGTATATATTATCATTAAATTAAAAACAATAAACATATATATTACATATTTATTTTTATCTTTGGTTAATATTGTTAAATTTAAATTCTAAATATTATTTTATAAAATATCAAAACAATCAAATAATTTTTTGTGCAAATGAAATTATTAAATTAATATTATAGGTGGAAAACATGAAACACTATTAAAAAATTGAAACATAAATTACATAACTTTAAAAAAAGTATCGATCATTTTTATAAAAAGTATGGACACTTTCAATATAATAGGTAAAAATATGATGTAATAGGTAGCGCTTATATAATGTAATAGGTAGCGTTTATATAATGTAATAGGTAGTGCTTATATTGTAAAGTATTTATCATTTTTATAAAAGTTTCCATACTTTTTTTACTGTGGAAAACATTAATTTAAGGTTAGTTTTAAAATATTAATTTAGTAATTATAGACGTCTAATGATTTATTTTTTACGTTAAGGTATATATTATTATTAAATTAAAAACAATAAACATATATATTACATATTTATTATTATCTTTGGTTAATATTGTTAAATTTAAATTCTAAATATTATTTTATAAAATATCAAAACAATCAAATAATTTTTTATGCAAATGAAATTATTAAATTAATATTGTAGGTTGGAAACATGAAACACTATTAAAAAAATTGAAACATAAATTACATAACTTTAAAAAAAGTATCGATCATTTTTATAAAAAGTATGGACACTTTCAATATAATAGGTAAAAATATGATGTAATAGGTAGCGCTTATATAATGTAATAGGTAGCGTTTATATAATGTAATAGGTAGTGCTTATATTGTAAAGTATCTATCCTTTTTATAAAAGTGTACATACTTTTTTCACTGTGGAAAACATTAATTTAAGGTTAGTTTTAAAATATTAATTTAGTAATTATAGACGTCTAATGATTTATTTTTTACGTTACGGTATATATTATTATTAAATTAAAAACAATAAACATATATATTACATATTTATTATTATCTTTAGTTAATATTGTTAAATTTAAATTCTAAATAATATTTTATAAAATATCAAAACAATCAAATAATTTTTTGTGTAAATGAAATTATTAAATTAATATTGTAAGTGGAAAACATGAAACACTATTAAAAAAAATTGAAACATAAATTACATAACTTTAAAAAAAGTATCGATCATTTTTATAAAAAGTATGGACACTTTCAATATAATAGGTAAAAATATGATGTAATAGGTAGCGCTTATATAAAGTAATAGGTAGCATTTATATAATGTAATAGGTAGTGCTTATATTGTAAAGTATCTATCATTTTTATAAAAGTATCCATACTTTTTTCACTGTAGAAAACATTAATTTAAGGTTAGTTTTAATATATTAATTTAGTAATTATAGGCGTCTAATGATTTATTTTTTACGTTACGGTATATATTATTATTAAATTAAAACAATAAACATATATTACATATTATTATTATCTTTGGTTAATATTGTTAAATTTAAATTCTAAATAATATTTTATAAAATATCAAAACAATCAAATAATTTTTGTGTAAATGAAATTATTAAATTAATATTGTAGGTGGAAAACATGAAACACTATTAAAAAAATTGAAATATAAATTACATAACTTTTTAAAAAAATATCGATCATTTTTATAAAAAATATGGACACTTTCAATATAATAGGTATGATGTAAGAAGTAGCGCTTATATAATGTAATAGGTAACGTTTATATAATGTAATAGGTAGTGCTTATATTGTAAAGTATCTATCCATTTTTATAAAAGTGTCCATACGTTTTTCACTGTGGAAAATATTAATTTAATGTTAGTTTTAAGATATTAATTTAGTAATTATAGGCGTCTAATGATTTATTTTTTACGTTACGGTATTTATTATTATTAAATTAAAAACAATAAACATATATATTACATATTTATTATTATCTTTGGTTAATATTGTTAAATTTAAATTCTAAATAATATTTTATAAAATATTAAAACAATCAAATAATTTTTTGTGTAAATGAAATTATTAAATTAATATTGTAGGTGGAAAACATGAAACACTATTAAAATAAATTGAAACATAAATTACATAACTTTAAAAAAAATATCGATCATTTTTATAAAAATGATCGATACTTTACAATATATCAGGTAAAAATATGATGTAATAGGTAGCGCATATATAATGTAATAGGTAGCGCTTATATAATGTAATAGATAGCGCTTATATTGTAAATTATCTATCTTTTTTATAGAAGTGCCTATACTTATTTTACTGTGGAAAATATTAATTTAAGTTATTTTAAGTGAATTTTAAGATATCAATTTAGTAATTATATTTATCTAATGATTTATTTTTTATGTTACGGTATATATTATCATTAAATTAAAAAAATAAGCATATATATTACATATTTATTTTTATCTTTGGTTAATATTGTTAAATTTAAATTATAAATATTATTTTATAAAATATCAAAACAATCAAATAATTTTTTGTGCAAATGAAATTATTAAATTAATATTATAGGGGGAAAACATGAAACACTATTAAAAAATTGAAACATAAATTACATAACTTTAAAAAAAGTATCGATCTTTTTTATAAAAAGTATGGATACTTTTAACATATTATAATGTAATAGGTAAATTTACAATGTTATCGGTATAAATATGTCGGTTTACTTATAAAATATGTCAATATAAGCGCTACCTATTACATTATATAAGCGTTACCTAATATGTTATGTATTTTATAATATTTCTGATTAAATAATATAACATAATCGATCTAAATTTTAATTAGTCACTTATTTAACCGATCACATTATATATTAATCGTTTTTTAGGCGCGCACCGCATAACTCCCGTAAAGTATGATATCCAAGTTTGAAGATATCTTTTACATGTGAACTCATTGATTAAGGAAGAAATAAAAGTCAAAAGGTTAGCCTAAAGATGATTATGAAGTGGACCTACCTCCACGCAGGAAAAAAAGGAAGAAGAAAAAGATCTTAGAATTTGAGTTCATTTGCACATTCACCTACAGCTCATGCTTCTCTCCCCTTTTGATTTCATTCCTTCGTATTTTAGAAATCATGAGGACGACGACGAAGATCTTAACGACAATGGGTACTTTTTTCAGAATTTCTTTTTATTTGACTCCTTTTCTGCACTATTTTTTTCATTGATCACTTTCTGAGGAAATTTATGGAATTTTATGATTTGGGGTTTGATTGTTGAAGTTAGTTATTGAACCAATGCTTTATCTTTATTTTTTTTCCTGGTAATCTGGGGTTTTTGGTGGGTTGATTTTTGGGTATTCTTTGTGATGCAGGAAGCTAAAGTTAGGTTTTTGAGGCAATTCTGATGGAAACAGTTGAAGAATATAGATTTTAGGGCTGCTCTTTTTTCTTACTGAACAAATCTTTGGTGGAAATTGATTTGATATGTGCTTATGTTACAGTGGAGAGTCTTCATTGTTTGAACTAAGAACCCAAAGTTTGAAGCTTTCTAGTTACTTTAGGTTTCCTTTGTGAAAGATTTAAGCTGGTGCTTGAGCTTGGAATTTAAGGTTGTGGGATATCCTGCTGAAGCTTTTGAATGGTTTGATTTTGTGGGTGCTTGTAAAAACTGAGATTAGTTTGCTGCAGTTAACTTTTTTTTCGAAATGGATAATTTGAAGAATCGGCTTAATGATCCTCTTGGTGTGAGCAAGACCGGCAAGAATATAAAGAAGAGCCCATTGCATCAGCCTAACTTTGCTACTAATGGTGCTAGACAGCAGCCTCAGCCTCAGGTTTACAACATAAGCAAGAATGATTTCCGGAGTGTCGTTCAGCAGCTCACCGGTTCACCGTCACGCAATGATCCTTTGCCCAGACCCCCACAGAATCCTCCCAAACCCCAAAGTATGAGGTTGCAGAAGATTAGGCCTCCACCATTGACACCAATGAATCGGCCCCATGTTCCAGCTCAAGTACCTGCCCTTGTCCCAGCTCATGCACCCGCTCCTGCTCATTATAACAATAGCTTGTTTAGACATGGCCAATATGAACAACCATCGTCTGGAGTGTTGCAACCTATGATACCCGTAGATGCTTTTTGGGGAAACACAGCTGAATCTCCAATCTCAGCTTATATGCGATACCTTCAAACTTCTCTTATAGATCCGAGTCCACTTGGAAAACAAGTTCAACCTCAAGTACACATTCCAGTTCCAGGTCAATATCATGTTCTATCACCATCATCAGGTGGCGTAAATGGTTCTGTACCACCATTAATGCCTAATCTCCCATCACCAAGGATGAATGGACCTGCCCTTTTACCCTCACCAACTTCTCAGTTCCTTCTGCCATCACCTACTGGTTATATGAATTTGCTCTCTACTCGATCGCCTTACCCTTTGCTTTCTCCCAGGGTTCAATTTCCTCCGAAGACTCCCAATTTCGGTTTCTCACCCATGGTTCAGTCGGGGATTTTAGGTCCAGGGCCTCAACCTCCAGCTTCCCCTGGTCTCGCATTTCCATTGTCACCTAGTTTCTTTTCCTTCCCAAGTCCTAGATGGAGGGGTTAACAATCCAAGTTATACTTGAAGAATTAGGACCTTCTTCATGAGGATCATCCCCTTCTCATGGAGATTCAATTGTGAAAATATATTGTATACTGCTGGTGTAACGAGATGTCACTTTAAAGTAGAGTAGGTAGGATCACAGGTTTAGGCAATCTTGTTGAAATATTTATTGTTTACTTGTACTGCTAAATCCTGCTAAATCCTAATTAATTTTAGTTAAAACTTTTGTTTATTTGAGTGTCATTTAGCTATAAATCATTCAAGCATTCTTCATGTTCATCTTTCAATGTTTTCGAAAAGGAAGGTTCATGATGTTAGATAGGGTATTTTCTGGAAAATGATTTATGTGAGTTGAATGGAGGAGTATATAGATAAACCTTGGAAATATTCAGTTCTTAACCCACAATTGAGATATTTGAAAATCCTTGAGAAATCAAGAATGTCAAAGCTATATAAAACATTTTCCCATTTCCTAATACACCTACAAGATCATAATCATTCATAGCAATCTTGACATAACAGATGAGATTATGGCGAAATTCAATAAGAAAATTGAAATTAGGATGTCCAAGCATATCAATGGAAAGCAAACTAAAAGGCAGATCCATTAGCAACCCTATTTTCCAATGTGACCACTTGGGAGATACCTTTTTCCCACTTTTGCTGCATATTATTTCTTTCTTGCTGCTCCTTTTGTGCTTAAGAGGATTCGGATCTTTCTTCTTTTGCGGTAGCATTGTTTCAGATTCTTCCTGTGTGAAACATGACAATCGAATAGAATATTCTATTCTGTGACATGCAATGCACTAGTTTCCCATCAAGACCTGAATGCAGGGAAGCATTGGTTACCTGAATTTCAGACCTGGAAAGCAGGGGTCGACGAGCTTCCTCCCTGTGAAGTTTATTCGAGTTGGTGAAGGTCGGTAATGAGCGAGGTATGGGTTGCCCTCTGGATCCTTGGCTGGAAGGCGCATAACCGAACGTCGATGTCGTGGTGCTCAATGTGCTACTGGATTACAGATCCAAACATAGCTACAACAAGGCCAAGATGATAATTAATATCATTCCGAAAACACATGCTGCTGGAAACCGGACAAGTTTATGAAGTTAGAACCCATAGTTTTACCTGAAAAAGTCTATGTTCAAGAGATGTCACCCTATCCAAAAACGACCCTTTGAAATAAGGTTACCTCATCGCCAAATCTAATGGCAAGCATACTTTTTCCATCCCTTTCTGCAAACTTATTTTCCCTTCTAAATATTTCATCTGTATGAAAAAAACCCAAAGCATAAAACATGAAGGTAGATTAGTTTTTGAGATACGAGGCTCACCATGAAATCCAAATGATCCAACCTGGAAACGAGAGGCATTGAGGACTGTTGAGATGTTGTTCCATTTTCCATTGGATAGTAGAGAGGGGAGATTTGGGGTTTAAAATGATTGAAACAACTGATTGTGTTATTGTAAACCAATCAAGTCTGGAAGCGGTTACATATTCCCTCCATTTTCTGTCACTTTATTCACTCTGCCTCGCAAGTCGTGCGCTAATTCGTTATGGTACGTGGCCCAAAAATTATACATTGTCTCCGAGGTTAACAAAACCTTTAGAATTTCGTTCACTTGAAATAAGTAAATGGAACCCTTAACAGTGTTTCTCTTTTTTTACAATGAGTGAAATGTAAATTTTTAACCGAAGTAAATATTATAAAAAAAAATCGTTGAAAAATAACTTTGCTCAGAAAATAAAAAACATAAGTTGCTAGTGAAGATAATGTTTTTAGAGAAGAAGAGAGAATGTTGTAAATGAATGGCTGTAACACCTAATATCCGACCGGGAGGATCCTATCCGAATATCGAATGCTACATTAACTACCAAAGTGACCCAGAACAGAATACCTAAACATGCTCTTATTTTTTTCCTTTTAATTTATTAATTGTTAATTTCATTTCATGCATCAGAGGAAGCATTAAAGTAACCATACTCATAGTGGACAAGAAATCACGTGTCATGCTTTTAAATCTATGCCAAACAACTAAATATATCTCAAGAGTAAAATAGTCATTTCATGCGTCACAATAAAACATGTTTTAAAAATGGAATCTAAACATGCCAAGTTCCTAAGAATAGTTCATATAGACATCATACAAATCTTTGTTCAATTTGGAATTCTATAACTGCCTTAATTTCAATTTCTAAATTTAGGGATCAAATGGTAAAATTTAACAAAATTATGATACCAAGTTCAAAATTTATTTTTACAACTCCTATATGATATTCAATTCAATTTAAGTTTACCTTTAAAGCTTCAACTTAATTAGATTACAAATTTATCCTCAATTGGCATACTAAAGATTAAAATGAAAATTTTAAAATAATTTCTATATTGACAGGAAATTACCATATTACATATTCTCATGTGAAATTAATTTTTTTTATACATTTTTTTTTCATTTCTCTTTTTTATATTTTATCTGTAACATACTAATTCAGTTAACTGATGTATGATTGTAGCAATAATGCTTACTACAATTTCCTTTTGTAATACATAAATCTCTGATTATAAGCTTTATACCAGACGCTTTTGAAGTACCTTTCCTCCGACGTCCCAACTAAGGTTGTAAATGATATATTTACATTTAAAGTTTTTGAGTTCGAGTTGAGCTCGAGCTCGACTCGGCCCGTTTACACCCCTAGTCCCAAGTATCACCTCTCCAGCCCTCTTCTACCTTTATAACCTCTCATGCCTTTCCCTTGAGGGTCGTTTGGTTCACGGCATACAACATTACGAGAATGGAATCTTTATTCCCCGTTTGGTTGGCCGGTAATCTTATTCTCGATAATATTTTATTACCAACAGTGGATATTTTTGGATATATTACAGGGAATGTGATTACCCCACTTAGGTATTGTTGGATTACCGGTTTTTGGACTAAAATGTCCTTAATTTTTTTTTTCAAATTTATATTTATTATGTAGTTGAATAATAAAAATTCTACGAATGTTAAATTATAAATTTATCCTTAAACTATTTTAGATTTACAAAAAAAAAATCCATAATTATAATTTTATATGAAGTTCAAGGGTTAAAATAAAATTTTACCATTTCATTAAACCATTTATCTTTTCAATTTTATAAAAAAATTATATAAATTTTATGAATTTAAATTTTTTAAAGAAAATATATAAATTAATTATAGTAATATTATAGTAGAATTCAACTTGTTAAAAAAACAAATATATAATAAGAACAATTTGGTAAAATATACATTTCAATAATCTTTTATTCCTTTAACCAAACACAGTAATCTTACATTCCTACTAAATCAATCAAACACAAAATACAACATTCTCAGTAATCTTATTCCCTGGTAATATTTTATTCCACTGGTAATCTTACATTCTGTGAACCAAACGCATTCTAATAAATTGATATATTTTAAGGTGAGACTCTAGGCGTTTTTTCCCAAAAAATCACCGGTAACCGGTATATTTACCGATCTAACACCGGTCATACTATATTCCGATTTAACACCCTTTGCAGTAAGGCACGCCCCTTGCAGCGCGCTATACGCTGATTTGGCGTCACGTGGGGTAAGACACGCCTCCTGCAACGCGTCTTATGCTGACATAGATACACATGTGAACGGGCGGGGTAATTTGGTAATTAAGGGTATAGCACGGCGTAGGGGCCGCGCCTTACCTGTGATTCTGACACGCGTCAGAAAGGCGCGGCCCCTGGCCCGTGCTATACCCTTAATTACCAAATTACCCCCACCCGTTTACACCCGTCATCCCTCCCTATAAATACTCCATTCTCAATCACTTTCATCACACCAAATTCTCTCTCAGCTTCTCTCAAACACTCTTATGTTTTATTATTAAGGTATATTTTCTTATATTTAGTATTTTTTAGTAATTTATTTAATTATTTTAATTATTTAATATTTTATTTAATTAATTTTTTTACAGATATAAAATGGAAGGCGGTCTACTTTGGTTGGATGGAAATCATATACCTCGACACTTTGCTGATACGGTAACATTTTAACGTTTTAATTTAATTAATTAATTTATTTAATGCATGACTATTAGTTTAAAAATTAATTTATAAAATTATTTATATTTTAGGAGAGAGACCGTATATTATATCCTTTTATTATGAACCTTAAGTTAGTTATACATACTCGTGTAATGCCGTATTTAGTAGAGGATGGATTCGGTCACCTAGGTATATATCACGCTTGAGGATGTTTCTATGCACTTGGGGCTTTCGGTGGATGGAAGTGTGATATAAGGGATAACTTCCGGTTCTTGGACTACTTTGTGCCGGGTTAGTCTAGGACGTGTCCCGAAAAATTTTAACGGTGGACGGATACCGTTAAATTGGTTAGATGCCAATTTTCCAGAGTTGAGCGAGGACGCGTCTGACGATGAAGTTAAACAGTATGCACGAGCATGCATACTGCAGCTGATAGGAGGGTTGCTGATGCCGGACAAATCTCGCAACCAAGTTCACTGTATGTGGTTGCAACATCTTGGCGACTTTTATCTGGCCGGATCACTCAGTTGGGGCTCGACAATTTTGACTTTCCTATACAGGGAGATGTGTCGAGCTATTGACTGCAGGCGTAATGCTATCGGCGGATGTCTCCTGCTGCTGCAGTCTTGGGCATGGTATCGATTTCCCTTTTTATGTCCCGTTGTCAAGAACCCATTCGTATTTTCGCTATTCCTGAGGTAATTATAAAACTGATTTTGTATATTAATAATTTTATACAGTGAATAAGAAATTATTTTTCTTACCCATGCGCACAATTAATTGACGCATGCGCACAATTAATTGACGCTCATCATTCTTCTTGTACCTTACATGGTAGTTCGCAGCAATGTGTCGGAGGCAATACCTATGTTGGACAAAGGGTGGTTGCCATATTGGACCCAAAGACTACATTGCTGCTTTGATCCCAGCTCCGCGATCTGAAATGACACAGATGTTTCCCTCGTGATAACACGTGCACGTAAATTTTGGAGGAAAAAACCCAAGAATCTGTATCTTCTCTTTCGACAAGAGAAAAAGTAACTGGAAGAATGTTACGATTGCCATCTTGGACAACTGCCAAT